GAGTCAGAACATACATACATACTAGGCAGGGAGAACATACAATACAGCTAGTACATACTATACATTATACAAGAGAACATACTATGATGAGAAACAAACAGAACGAACATACTAAGATGCTATAGCATAGAACAACTACAGGATCTAATTATACCAATGAATCACTAACGCATTGTTCTAAACAAAAGGTGATAGTTATATTGGGTATACATGATCATATAACTTTAATGTGAATTACACGGCTTGCAATTGATTGCAGAGGTCGCATTTAGTTCCCTTAATCTCTAAACAGGGAGAGCGTATAGTTGTTGGGTTTTGAGCATTCTAACACTCCTATGGTGTACATGCAACCCTATAAACCTTGGATCTATGTTTTCTCTATTATACATGCAAATATTAACTATTCCAAGGTTTCATCCTAACTAGCATATTATGAAGCACCTATACTACAAAGTTCTAGTTAGATGACATACCTTTTGATGTAGCTTGATGTCTTCAAGCTTTAAGAGCTTAGCCCCAATAGTGTGGAAGCCTCAAATGGAATCACAAATCACCAAAACACCTTGGAAGAACTTGAAAGAATATGTATGCACACTAAAATCGGCCCACTCTTATTTTCACACACTTGTGCCAATTTTGTGAGCCAAGGACCCCTTTATATATTATGGAGGATTAGAGTTACATCCATGTAAACCCTAATACCCATGACCTTTCATTTACATAGGATCCATGGGTTAAAAGCTCCATGAACCATCCATGAAAGCTTAGCCCAACCTAAATGAACTTGGCCCATTCCATATATATAAGAGTCCATATTTAATTAGTTCTTTTTGATCACTTAATTAATTCTAAATTAATTCTTGATCAATACTAATTAAGTAATATGATTCCATATTAATATATTAGAACTTATAATATATTAATATAAATCATAAATATACTATTCTCAAAAGACTATCCATATAAATTGTGCCGGTGAAGTGCAACCCAAATGGACCATGCCGAGTCGGGTCAAGTACATACCAAATATAGTTATGGACTTAGACATTAATCCAACAATAGTAGGGGTGCTAGCCTTCACATTAGGACCAGTATAAAACAAACATGTTTTAAGGTCATCAGTACATCCGTATGTCATTTTAAACGACAACTATGTACTTATAATTCCCATTACTTTCAGTAAGTGGCAGTTCCGCTTGAAAGCTAATACAGACTATTTTCGAGTCAAGATAGTTATAAACTAGGGAAAACTTACATTTTACAAACGACACATAGAACAGTCGGGTCTAGTACATTCAGCAGAAAGGGACCTATAATGCTAACTTTATGATTCCTTAGTGTATGTATTAAGGGATATATATTAATCGGGTCCAACAGGTAGTAAGATGTGTGTTTTCCGCTTCATTTCCTGTTCCTTGTTTGGTTGTGGGCTTAGAGCAGATACACCCAGCCTACTATCTATCCGAGCTTAGCTATATATATGTCCCTTGTACACCAAGTAATCATAAGGGGTACCATGTATGGGTCAAGTCATAGGACACAGAGTCAATGCACAGTTTTCTAGTACAAAACATACTTTCCAAATCAGAACTTTTGGTATACAAAACTAGAAACTTACCAGTAAAGGTTTAATCCATTTTATTAAACCAGTATAAACTTAAAAGACCTTAGGTATTTAACTCTATAATACTTTAGTTTATACATCATGGTTATATATAATTAATACCCAATAGGTAGTTGGATGGGTGCTTTCCGCCTTACTTCCTGTTCCTTGTTTGGTGGTGGGCTTAGGGTAGATTCACCCAATTAACTTTCTATCTGATATTAGAGCATATATATCCAGTATAAACTAAGTTATTATAGAAGTAATCACTGTGGTCACCATTTTATTATAAGAAATAAGAGTTTTCTTAAAGGATATTTTCATCAAATATAAAGGAACCATTACAACTAACTCCACGAGTAACAAGTGAATACACCAGGGTTATATACAACAATGATCTAACAACCAATGGGATGTGTGCTATCCGCCTTAATTCTTGTTCCTTGTTTGGTTGTGGGATTTGGGCAGATGCGCACAGTCGATTGTTTGTTTACTCTGAGTTTTATATAACTTGTATCCATTTAGTACTCATAGAAAGGGTTGTAGAGTCATTTTTACTTATCTTTCATTAAAGTAGGAAATATAGGATTTTCTAGAGGAACAGACGAACTTTTCTAAACAGAACTTACAACTTACTACATCTTTCAACTACATTTTCAAATACATTTCCAACAACATTTTACAACTTACTTACATCACTAAAATCTTATGAACTCACCAGCTTAATTGCTGATCAACTCTTTCAAATAACTTGTATTCTCAGGAGCCTAGTAGACAGGTACTCGTGCTGGGAATTCAGAAGATGGAGCAGTATAGCTTCAAGTCTTGTTTGTTATTTGCTTATGTATTCCATGTTTTGTGAACACACACTTTGTAAACACTTTCTTTCAAATGAAATGGTTGTTCATTACTTACTTACTATAATGCATATCTTGTGATACTAAACATGACGTCCTCCACCCCCGAACGTTTCCGCCGTTCCGGTTTTGGGGTGTGACACTAGGGCCATTCAGCTTCTCCTAGAACAAGTCAATTGTTTGGCCAACAAACAAAAGATGGATCAAACCTGCTCGATCATTTATGTAAGTCTTTCGCTCACATAAAAAGTTGAAGCGGTTAGCCTGACAATTAGGAGAACATGTATTATAGTTGAATTTCAGGTTATCTTCTTAACTTCTGTTGTTGTAAATACTGATGTAATTTTGTGATTATATATGGATTTGTACTCTTTTGGTTGTAGTGCAGGTCCTAAAGAAGAGTTATAACAATTTTGTGGTAAGGGTGGGATAGGTATATTTCCATCGATCTTAAAGCTCAAAGATGTTTTGTTTTAACTTCATAATTGTTGGTGATAACTATTAAAGTCTTATCACTTCCCTATGAGAACCCTCAATAAAAAGAAGACGATTGGTTCTACACCTCTGTTTATAGCACTGTGACCTAACACCATATAGCCTCCCACCCTTCAAATCATCATATTTGATGAAAGGTGTAGTTTAATCTGTCTCTTTTCATTGTATTCTTCAAAATCAGACTAATACCCATTAATTTTGTCTACAAAAGTCAAAATGTTAATTACTTTTGAGAAAACTATGTGGTAATTTTGATTCAATATTAAAAAAAATTGGTTTTATTGGTGATTGTTAATACCAATTTATTGCTGCTACATATGACGTTTTCTAATATTGAAAGATTTATTGCAACTACTAATGTCATTATATTTTCATGTGTTTATTTCATCAGATGGGTTGAAGCCCCAATTGAGGATTAACGTATATATATGGTTATGGAAATCCCCTTAGCAAAAAGCAACCAATCTCTTATAATTATTGTAAGCTCCAACGTTCCTTTTAATAAGCAAGCACTTGCATAGTTTATAATTTCCATACATAAGTTGGTGCTTATAATAAGCGGAGGGTTTTTTGTTTTTTGTATTATTTATTGCTAAGAAGTTGATTCATGGCACCTGAATTGAGATTACATGTTTGTTTCTTTCATGTTTGCAAGTGAAGCTGCAAAGGAGCCCTAGAATGTGATTCGTTTCCAAGAGAAAGAGAAATCTTGAGGAAATAATAAATAAATTTATTGCATGTTCTCTTTATATTATAATATATGATTTTATTAGTAAAATGAATAAGATCAAAGGAAATACAATACAATCCCACCATTGGTATTATGACAAGTGAGATGTTAAACATACAAAAATATGAAGCAAATATATGACTAAAATGGTTATCTCCGCATTCATATTTATTTGATGAATTTTGATTTGTTGTGACAAGAAAATCGGAAATCGTAATGCAGAATTATATAAAAAACGACAATGTACATTAATTTTTAATCCCAAACAACACTTTTTAACCAAAAACGCTACATACTTTGTAAAACATCAACATAATTTTATTTTGAATCCAAAACAATAACAAATCTTAGTGTAAAACTAATACCGTAGTTATAATTTCTTTTACCACAGCCTACAAAATATTATTTTTAATACAAAGCAACAATATATATATATATATATATATATATATATATATATATATATATATTATTGATATACAATATTTACCGGTAGATTGTTTGGTCTTCGAAATACGACATATGAATGAAAGAAAAATTATCAACGAAGGAAACTAATTGAAAAAAAAAACAAAAAAACATCGTTAAAAAAGTGAAAGTAAAGTACTATAATATACACATGAATGTATAAAAAATTGTGTTTAAATTATAACTAAGTAATTTTTTTTATTTTGTTGGCAACAAAGATCTATGGTATCGTGATAAACATGTGTCTATTTTTATATCTTCTATTTTTAATCTAAAACAAAGCATACTTCAATTATTAACCCACCATATATTTTAACCCAAAATAAAAACAAGTTTATATGTATGGTTATCGGTTTCTACTAAGCTACAATACTGGTTTCGGGTATTTTACCTGTTCCGCGTAAAAATCGGTCTTGGACCGAAAGTTTAATAGGCATAATCTGTGAATTATATTAAAATGTCATAAATCATTCGTTTGAAGTTGGATCAACACGATATCTTTCCCAACATGTAGTTTAAGTGTTTGTACTTCATTTTAGGTTTTATATATATATATATATATATATATATATATATATATATATATATATATATATATATATATAGAGAGAGAGAGAGAGAGAGAGAGAGAGAGCTAGGTTCAGGTGTTTAAAGTAAGTATTGTGTTATTGTATTCATAAATGTGGACCAATCAAAATTTAAAATAAAAATAAATAATTAAATAAATAAATAAGGGTAAATAGGTAATTTGATAATTAGTTTCCACAAATAATAGCCTATAATTATGGTAACCATTGACTTAGCTACCTAGGTTTTTTCCATCCCTTTTTAAAACCACAATGACGAATTAAAGGGGTGTTTTGGCTCGGTGACTCTTTGTGTGCGTTCTCCCATCGTCGGCAGCCCCAAAAACAACAGCGACAGTGGCGGTCGACAGACAAGAAATCGCATGTAGTAAGGGATGGTCAATCGATCTGCGGAGGACTCCTCCTTCGTTCATCTGCTTCGTCACCAGTGATCACAAATCAACAACGGGAGAATAATCGATCGACAGGAGACGGTAAGAGATTTCATCTTTTCTCTTTTCTCTTTTCTCTTTTCCTTTTTTTTTGTTCCAGCAGTCTCTAGTTGTTCTTGTTTGGGTTGATTTGAAAGAAACGGAGGCAGGAAGGGATGGTTGGAAGGTGGTTCGGTGGAGGCAGGGAAGAAGAACCGAAATCAGATGGGTGTTTGGATTGAGGCTGTGAAATCAATGGGCAAGCAGAAGAAGAAACAAAGGGTTTTTTTCTTTTTTGTTCAACTAACATCCTATTTGATCGCATCTGTGAGTAAAACTGTCTTCTAGATTCCAAGGTTGTTCGCACACCAAATTAGTATCTATTCTTATTTCTGTGCTGGTCCTACGTTTGAATTCATATCAGATGTCACGTGTTCTCCATCTTAATGAGATGCTTGGTTACTTCTCAGGATGTTGTGTGGCTGTTTGGCCATTGTTTGGTTTTCTTGTGTGAAATCAATGATAAAGATGATGACTTGATGAGGGCATTTATGTCAAAATAAAAAAAAAATTTAATGGAGTCTGATGTATGATGATAAAAGAGGCAAATTTGGTCTAAAAGCTTGAACTCTATCCTAAAGTTATGGGTTCTTAACATGTCAATTGCTCTAAAAGGTACAGTTTGTTCTTGACCAGTTTTTTTGCTGCATTTTATGAATTGATTCATATTTCAATTTATGTTTTTTTTTTCTAATTTAACACTTCATTTATGTGGACAGTGCAGGATCTTGACAAGGTTGAATTCTGAAAAGGTATCAAGTATGTTTATGTAGATGATTCAATGGATGATATTAGTGAGATTCCAATTCTATTAGAATGAAATCACGAATACCAATTATGTTGGAATGGAATCACGAATTCCAATTCTGTTGGAATCACATAAGTTGATGCTTGAAGAACGGACCACAAAATTGAAACGGACCACATTATTCTTTTAGAATGTATTAGTAGTTGTTAGATTTTGATGTTTTCTTTCCCGTTTTGAAAGTTTTTTTAGTTTTATTCTTTAACAATAAATGTAATTCTTAACAATTGTTACCCGTATTCTATAAGAAATAATGTATTTTTTGTTTTTATTCTTCAATTGATTGTTCAAGAATTTGTTATTCTACAAGTAGTTTTTAAATTCATGATCAAGAAATAGGTTCAAATTTTTTTTATTGTTTATGGTTCTAAGAATATTTTTATTTTTGAACATACTCATAAACATATTCTGTCAGAATGTCCGAATTAAAAGAATTATAATTCGTAAAATCGGATTTTTTGTAATTAATAGGATCTATGATCCCTTAAAAAATGCAATTTTCCTTTATTAAATCTATATATTAATTGACTAAATTACCCTTGTAATTAATTAAGATGATATTTTTCAATTATATTTAATTCAATAATATATTAATCACTTTCTATAAATAAGTAAATTTGATTGGCCCACATTTATACATACAATAACACAATAGATAGTCTAAACAAAATAACCTAAGCATATATATATATATATATATATATATATATATATATATATGCTTAGGTTATTTTGTTTAGACTATCTATTGTGTTATTGTATGTATATATATATATATATATATATATATATATATATATATATATATATATATATATATATATATATATATTCATTTAATGGCAGTCCTGTAAAGACGGGATATTTTTTATGTTTTTTTATCTTGACTTAAAGAACATGGATTAGTTTCCAAGTTATAAGTTACCATCTTCCAAAGCAAATTATATTTCATGTTAGGGATTTACCTTTTCGTTGCCTTCCTGTCAAAGTTGGATGTCCAATCATACATGTTTTCGAATTGAAATAATTACCAAAAGAAACTATACGTACTCGTCGTTTGGCGCGGGTAAACGGCTAGTACTAAAATAAATTGAATACATTTAATGCATTCTACACTGAAATTACTGCCCCTTTTAATCGAAGTTAACACCCGTATTCCATATAATTTGGAATTGATATTAAATAAGGCTGGAAGGAGTGGGATGAAATCTTCCCTCACCTTTTGTGGGCCATATCCTCCTTTCCCTCACTTTTCTTTCCCCCACTTAAAACCCAATGAATGGGTAGGAAACCCTTCCCTCACTTTTTTTTTATTAAATAAAATTAATTTTTTTGTTATGAATTATAATTTTTAAATTAATACTAAACATAAAATTTAATTAAAAATAAAAAGCATTTCATTAATTAAAATAAAACTTACATTAAACCTAAAATTTAAAAAAGCAGAAAATTAAAAAAAAAAAACACACACACACAAACTAAAAATCGATAGCAAACTCCTTGCGGGGATGGATCGATAGCAAAAATATTTCGAGGAGGGATGTTTATACTCGACCCATGGCTTTTTTTTTTCCTTCGATCGGAAGTTGGGATTTGATTGTCGGGATTCATTTTTTTTTGTTGATATAAAGTAGAGAGAATAGAGGGTAGTGTGATGTTTGATGTTATATGTATGTATTTATAGGAGTGGAAAAAGGATAAAAAAAAATTACATTTTTACCGTTGATTAACGGTTCTTTTTCAAAAAAAAAAAAAAAAATTCCCAGCCAATCGCAGCAAGAGAGAGAGCGGGAGAGGCTCCTCTCTCCGTTTCCCGCACACGCTTCCCCGCGCCGGTGGTGCGGTGTTCCGCCGGGCGGGAAGCTTCCCGCTGCCGTTCCCCGCGCCCGCTCCGTCCGACCTAAGGTATTTCAAAAAAAAAAAAACACGCATTCCAGCTAAACATCCGGTATCACGTCCTTATTTAACGTGATATTTCGAATATCTCCCAATATTTATAACACTTTTAGCGATTTGCATTTGATTATTTTATAGATATATACCTGTGTACGCTACGATAAAAAGCCTTCACACTTCGATAATTCTTCTTATTCCTCTTTCTTCTTCATGTTTCTATTCCATCTGCTAACAAACAGGTATTTGATCTGTTTCTTTTTGTTTCTTAGGCCCCGTTTGATACGCATCTTTCCAGGTCCAAATAGATCTTTCTGGCTGAATGGACCGGAAAGACTGTTTGATTTGCACAAAAAAATGGTCTTTCCCGGTAAGATGTGTCTTTCCCAGAAAGCCCCAAAATCATATCTTTCTGGCTGAATGGGCTGGAAAGACAATTATGCACCAAACTCAGCCTCTTTCTTTCTTTCTTGGATTATTATTTTTTTTAAATAACTTTTTTAAAATTTATTTTTTAATGAATTATTACTTTTTTTCATCATTCAGCACAGTCAATCAGATGTACAATCAAACAACATGGTTTCTTTTCCAGTCAGAAAACTTTCCCAGACAACACTTTACCAAACAGCACTTTCCCAGACAGAAACTATCAAACGGGACCTTACTGTTTCTTTCTTCATGTTTCTACTTTTTCTTTTCTTTTCTATTCCATTTGTTTCTATCATATGTGTATTGTCCCAAATAGACATGAAAATAACATAATCACTGTGTATTACATAAATATGACCATATTATTATGTAATTTTTTGTTTATATTGTTTCTGCTTCCTATTTCTATCCCTTTAATGTTCAAAATCTAAAAAAAAAAAACATTTTTATATATCAGATTCCTATATCTAATGTTTTCCAGAAAATAGAATGTTATAAAACAACTTTTTATATAATTTTACACTCCATGTTCAAAATCTTCAAAAACAGTGCATTTTAACAAAGTAAATCTATATATAAATGTTTCCAGAAAATATGATGCTAAAGGAGAACTTTTTTTTTTTTTTTAAATCTCACGTTTATTGATCCTATATGTTCAGATACCTTCTTCCAATGATCACCATAATGCATAACTGCTTCTAGAAGGTGCAACTAATCTCCAATCTTTTAAAATCTGCAGAGTTAACTCCAGCTCAAACATAACACCTTGCAGAAAATGTTGTATCTTTCTGTAAAACAAAAAGTAAGTGGTAAAAATGTAAAAATGTAAAAATGTAAAATACGTCATCATTCATGATGTGATTAAGGATTCAAGTTACCTTAATGTTGGAAAAACATGCAATGGTGCAAAGGAAATTGCAACTACTGCAAAATTTCTTCTTTGGAACACTGGAATCGGGAACGGAATTGGTTATTCCGGTTCATATTGTCTAGATTTGAATACCAACGTGATACTAATTTTGAAATCACATCAATTAAAATCAATCTCTTATTTACACATATTAATCAGATTTATATTTTGCCTAATATTAGCCTAATATTTATCATTTTCAAAATTCAAATTTGAAACATACCCACTGTTAAAGAACTTTAATCGTTTCTTTTCAACATCTTGTGACTTGCATATCATCTTCAACGACAATCAAACACCAAATCAAACAGCAAATCAAACAAGTAAGTTTCTAGGGAAACGTATTCATGTTGTGTTAAAAAACGAACAATCAATTTATAGTTAATGTTGTTTTACCTTCAATCTTGTTGTCGTGCGACACCCAATACTCCATAGCTTCAGTCGACTTTTGTAATGAGTGATTGACATTGGATTATACTCGATGTAAATTTCTCTTCATTTACGATTGCTCTATAGATGTATTATTTTGTTATTTCATCATCATCGACAGAATGGGAATATAATTATTGTGCCCTATAGAAATGTAGCCGGAGCAAATAGCCGGTCGTGGGGGAATTTTCTATTCCATCGGTTATTTTAGGGCAAAAAAAGAAATAGTATTGGGTGTTTGTGACAAAGGGGGATACAAATGAAAGTGATGATGGATTGTTTATTTGGTAAATGAAAGTCACAATTTTTTATTTTAATAATATATTGAAACTGAATATATGTTGTGTAGTATATTTTTATTTTTATATGTTTATATTAATTTGTTAACAAAATATCAACCAAGACAATTAGTCTATCTCATAATCAATTAATTTACACATAAACGTATTATTATTTATTTTTCTAATATAATTATAAAAATGATTTTTTAGGATAAAAAGTTAATTATAAAAAGCAACCGTGGTTTCCGCGGGCTATAACTTAGTTTTCTTATAATTAACACGTTTAATACACGGGTCTCACAACTAAACACATAATTTTAATTAATTTTGTTATATTTAACACGTTTAATACACGGGTCTCACAACTAGTTGCATGTATATTCTTCTTAAGCTATAAAACTCGCATGTATATCCTAATTTATAATTTAATTAGATTTAAATCAATTTAATTATTAAAAAAATTATTTAAAAACCTAAATCAAAGATGATTGTACCAAAATATCATTTCCAAATTAACAATTGGAATTAAATAAATATATTAGGATTTAACCCTTTTAATATTGAAAAGCTTAAATTGTATTTAGTTTTTCTCATCATCTGTTCTACTACACGACATCTTCCTATTGAAAAGCTACAAACTTAGCGTTTTTTCTTGCTATTTATTCCTTCTTGTAAACTTACCGATGTTATGTGTTTGGTTTCAGATTGTTCTTGCTTTTGTGCCATAACATTCTACTGGATAATCGACAACTACAATTAACTTGCCAAGTTAGAACTCGTTCTATAATCTTTAGAGCAAGCAAAATCGAGCCTTTCACGACACTCATGAAATTTCGACGCCTCTCTCCAGGTGGGGGACTTTGTTTTACTGAAAGTGCCGTCATGGAAGGGACTCATCAGGTTCCGGAAGAGGGGCAAGTTAGGGCCCCGATATATTGGCTCGTTAAATATATCGGCCTGGGTGGGCAAGGTGGCTTACCGTTTGGATCTACCGGACGAGCTCAGCCAGATACACAACACCTTCCATGTGTCTCAGCTTCGGAAGTGTGTCACAGACGAGGCCGCGATTATTTCCTTGGACGACATTCAGGTGGATGAGAGCCTAAACTACATTGAGAGGCCCGTTGCGATTCTGGATAGGGACACTAAGGTTCTTCGGAACAAGGAGGTGAAGCTAGTGAAGGTGCAATGGCAGCACCGAAGAGGCTCCGAATGGACATGTGAGCCAGAAGAGGAGATGCGAGATCACTACCCAAATTTGTTTGCGTCGGCGGACTTCGAGGACGAAGTCTAGTTCAAGTGGGGGAGATTTGTAACGCTTACTCCAGGTATTATTTACTTTTAAGTTTTTAGGGTTTTGCACTAGGACTCGACGAGTTGGGGAGCCCAACTCGACGAGTAGAGATCAATATTGGACGCGGGACTCAGGGTCTACTCGACGAGTTGGAAGGCCCAACTCGACGAGTAGGCATTGTAAAGGAAAACCCTAATTTTTCGGGTTTAATACCATATTTAAAGAACTTAACCATCAGGGGTGGCCTCCTTACCAGCCTCCTTACTCAGAGAAACCCTAGAACCGCCTCCCCCTCTTGTTCCTTGAAGTTTTGAGTGTTGTGTTCTGATTCTTGAAGGAAGCATTGAAGAGTGAAGTAGCAATCTTGGAGGAGTGATCTTGGATCCATAAACTCTACATCAAGGGCTGCATTTTGAAGGTATAAAGCCATAACCTTGTCATGTAATGTATTAGATCTCATCTTTTGGTAGTTTAGGACTTGTTTTGGGACTTTGGGTTGAATTTTCCAAGATAAGAGGTTCCCAGAGGTTAGGAGAGTAGATATGGCCTCTATACGACCTCTAGAGGATTAAATTTGCAAACTTTAATAGCCTCCATGTCCAATTCATGCATTATGACCACAATGAAGGCTAAAATGGACCTTGGAGGATATTTCAAGCATGCATGGACGTAAAGTTAGAAAGTTTACGTGACTTGTCCACCCTTGGACATCAGATCTGTGTTTTGGGTCAACTGGATGAGGGTTTAAAGGCTTAATGACTCAAGACCTTCCTCAAAGAAGCTAGGGTTTGAGTTTAAGGCATATTAGATAGTCTTTGGGGGTAAAGTTGGAAACTTTACCCTTCTAGACATCTCTATGGTTAAGGATCTGTTGTATGGAGCTTTAGATTCGACTGGAAAGGACTTAATGCATGAAGACAGGGGAAACTCGTACAGTTGCCCTGACGACTCGACGAGTTGGGACGGGTTTCCCTGTTTCTGGATGATAAGAAACTCAGCGAGTTGATGAGATAACTGGGCGAGTTGGCTAGAGTTTTCCCCGGTTTTCTGAACACTGAAGGAACTCGACGAGTTGGGTCAACATGGACTGTTGACCTTGACTTTGACCATGGTTGTCCAAGTTGGACTTTTAAGGGTTTGAAGGGTTGAGTTGTATACTAAGGAGTTGTTTATGATTAGGGAGTTGGAAGAGCTGACACTCGGAGCTTGGACCTATTCAGCTACAGTTTGCATTAGAGGTGAGTTTTCTCACCATACCAATGGGTCTAAGGCACCAAGTGTAACGCCCGAGTTTCGGGGCTAAGCATTATCAGATGATGTAATAAGTCTAGGTCAACTATTGTAACTCTTTTGAGATAATAAAGATGAAATATTTGAGTATTATGTGAATTATGTGCCTTTATATGCTTATTACTTAATTATCAATGTGTAATAAATAAAGAATAAAAGTAAGCGTCAGAATTAAAGTGTGAGATAAACCCGATATCTCTAAATAAAGTTGTAGTGGTCGAAACAAGAATTCTGGGGATATAAAGAACGCCGAAATCCGAGTTATAACGAAGAAGTTATGACCCGTCGAAGTTTCGTGACGGAACCGGCACGACTCCGGGAAGCGTAAATAGTGAATTTACGATAGAGCGACTTTTAGCCTTGGCGATCTAAACGAAAGTCGTAGAAAACGTTAAACCGAGAGCGTCCATAAAAAGAACGCCCAAATCTGACTTCGTATGAGGAAGTTATGATTTTTCGAAGTTTCGGCTTAGCAGTGTACAGCCTGAAGTTCGAATATTAGATCGAGCAATTTTTTAGCCGACACAACCTAAACGAGAATCGAAGATCTCGTTAATAATAGCGTAACGATAAAAAGAAAGACGAAAACGGACGTCAGATGAAGAAGTTCTGAATTTTTAACGGACCAATCATGTCCCGGCCTGTTAAAAATATAAATTTAAAATAAAGTCAAAATTAGCCGACGGAGTCTAAACGAAAGTTGTAGATTACGTTCCCGCCTACGCGTGGATATAAAGAACGTCAAAAACGGAGGTCGTATGCGAAAGTTATAATTTTTAGAAGTCGAAAAGTAAATTTGCAAGACCTGTTGCGAAATTGATGATGTGGCAAGATCTAGGCCGTCGCTTGCTGATCACGCCTCGCTTCGGATGGACGACACGTCGCCTCGCATTACGCCCCGCGTCCAGAACCGGGTACGCCCAGCGTACTTCGGTCTTGTGTGGTCCGAGAAGTGCACACGTAGCCCCATCCGAAGAGCACCACCTGGCACCCTTATCCGAACTACGCCCCGCGTATCTAAGGGCTACGCCCAGCATACGTCCGAGGCTGGTGCCTATAAAAGGGATGCGAGGCTGCCGAGTTCCATGCACATTTTCCACTTCTCTCTCTAACTTCTTTCTCTCTCTAGACTACCCTCACCCCCCCTAAACCCTAGGTAAACCCCCTAGCACCCGAAGGAAGCCCCGAGGCTCCCGGAGTCCCGAGAAAAATGGTCTTTCGGTTCGGAAACGCTGCTCCAAGCAAAGCCAGGTTTTCTATAAAACCCGCTGTAAGTGAGCTACGCCTACGATATTTTTAATATAACTTCTAATTAATTATAATAACATTATTAGGACCTTAAAATAATTATTTGGGCTATTATTATGAGTTATATAGAGTGTTGTTTAACGCTTATATAATAGTAATAATAGCTAGACTATTAATGAGTCGCGGTTAACGTTAGACTAAACCCTAGTGGTATTGATACTAGGTTTTGTCAAGGGAAAATTGTTTTGAGATAACGAAGTGCTGTTCGAGTACCGAGTCACCGCCTAATCAAGTGAGTGCATAGTTAATTTCATCTTACACATAGATATGAAGTATTTTATATAAATTACGTGCTGTGTGTGCATATTATCTGTATACTTGCTATCTATGTTGGATGAACGATTTTATACATGTTTTAAATGATTTAAACTGTATATGTATTTTATATCTACAAAATGTGTTGGGTAAAACATGGGTAGATGTAATAGTTGATGTGTGACAAAATAAAATAATGAGAGGCCTCGTTATAGATGTTATTGATGATCCAGTCATCTAGCGGAGTATAGATGACGACCACAGACTATTCTAGACAGTCCAGTGGAACGTTAGCAGGCTCGCAACCTGTAGGTGTTATTTGAACCGTGAGCTCACCAGCAGTACTCCATCCTCCACATGGTTGTCTTATTTGACATGAATTGCTGAGGAACCTCCAAAGCATGTGTTGTCACCCCGATGAAAGTCCTTAGACTAGGTCCCTTGTGTTAGATGTTTTAGGGACGTAAAGTGAGGATAACAGGAAGGGGTAATCGAGTTTGATTGGTTTGATAAAGTTAATAAACTTATTTATTGTGGGTTGAAAACCCTATGTGCTCACCAGGCTCCCAAGCCTGACCCACTCAGTTTCTTGTATTACAGGTAGTGACGTACGAGCATAGATATGATGTTTGGGATGAGAGATTACGGATTTTAGGCCTGTAAATACGAAATAATGTAGTAAGGCTTATGTTGTACTGTTTATGCTTTTGATCTGTATCGAACATGACATCCCGAGTCTTTTAATGAAATACATTTCTACGGAAATGCTTTGATAAATCTTTATCATACTTTGTTTTGGGAATAAATTCTGCAACTCTTTTATTTAAATTATTACTCTGATTTTT